ATTTTAGGACATAAATAAGGGTAAATAGTCAAAACTTTATCTTAAGTAATAGTTTCTCAAGGAGCTGTGTAAAAGAGAAACACGACAAATAATTTGAGATGATAGGAGTACGTACTCCCTCTGTCCCTAATTACTTGTCCACTTTTGAATTGACACACCTATTAAGAACACAATTATTGATATAGTGAGTTTACCATTTTACCCCTATTAATATGAAGTGAGTGAATTAAAAATTTAAGATTTTCAAAAAGTTCTACCTTTTTTCAAAGTAATTAATTGAGGATATAATAGGTAAATTTTTTTTGTCCTTTCTTGATTTGTCAAAATGAGCAAGTAATTAGGGACAACTATAAAAGGAAAAGTGGACAAATAATTAGAGACAAAGGGAGTATATGCTAATTGTTATTATGATTTTTTCAAAAAAATAAAATAAAATCTTCCCTCTAACTTTACTTTAAGGCGTGAACGAACTCATCATAGGTTTCATCAAAAGTATACACTTTTGTGTGTGTTTGAATAATTAATCTACAAATTGTTTTGTTTTGCGGTGCTAATTTTTTAGTTAGATTAAAATTGTTATTTTTATTTATTGGATATAAAATAGGAATAATTAAAGATATTCTTCCTAACACGCGGTTGCCTCGTAACGCAGACCTACAAAAAGAAAGTTATGGGGTTAAACAAGTTCTAGCTACGTTCAAAAGAATGAATTTTAAAGTTTATGTGTAATATGTTTATATATATATATATATATATATATATAGTTAGGTTATTTATTCCATATCCTTAAATTTTTGTATTAATCAAATTATTAGTAATGAGATCACAACAACGTAATTAAATCAAATCGTGTGTATTATTTCATGGCTAAGATGGTATATGCATGTAAATTTTCATATGAAACATCAATATGTAATTGACACACAATATATATATAACCAAAAACTTGTTTTTAATTTTTGTTCCGTTTGAAAAATGAAAATACTAACAATATTACTAAAAGTAGTAATATTGGGTACAAGAGGGAAAATGGGGATAAACGAAACAACACATATCCCCATTATATGGTGCATGGTATTTCCTACTATATATTTTTATCATGACTAAATATTTAGTACTACTATCTTCTTTCTATAATATAGTCCTTTAATTTGTTTATTTATTTTTTTGTGTATGTTTATGAGTTGTGGCTTTTTTTGGGGTTCAGTCGCCGGCCCAAGTATGATGAAATGTTACTGCTGATTCCAAAGCCATTTTCTTTCCCTTTTCAACTTATTATAATATTAAAGAAAAATAGTGCTTATTTAAAACCTTAGTATAAAATACAAAATACAAATGCCAAACCCCTTTCATAAAAAGCAGTGATCAATTCATATATATACTAGTACCAAGGCCTAGTCCACATGCTTCCCTCTTTTATTAATTAATTTATGCATGGTGGCCTACAACTATATATCATTTCTCCATTTCTCTACTCTATGCCTTCAATAATATTGTTTTAAGGATTTCTTTTTAATCATATATCATATTCACTTATAAGTTCAAATTAATTTGAATTTACGTCAAAAGGAAACACTTTAAATTAGGATTTTTATAGGCTACGAGTCAGCCAAACTCAATAGTTTGAGGAAATCATGTATTTATCTTAAAAATTATTATTAAATGTGTATAAATTATTAAATACTATTAGTTTAGAACCTAATTCTTAAAATGACTGAAATCCTAAATCATAAACTTTAAACTCTGTCTCATTACGTTGCAATAAGAATAACTCATGTGATCATATATAAGAAATTTATTATATTTTCAAATTATCATACATCAAGTTTGTGATTAAGCTAAGTGTTACCTATTGTGGTAGGCTAATTTCAGCTTGTTAGGAAAATTAAAAATTGATACTTAAAACCCCTATAAAGCATACAAGTGAATTGAGTGCCTCAACATGTAATCTTGTTAGAAAAATTAGTAATGTACGTACTTCAAAATATTTTTATTACTGTTACTTAATTAATTAGTTAATTACTATTGGTGATGAGCAATATCATAATTACCAACTATAAACCCTACGTACTTTCTTTTCAGTTATTAGCATGGAATGATGACGCGTGTTAACACTAAAACCAAGATTAAGGCTGCTTAATGGTGTTGTGGATCAATATTAGCCTTACACATGAAAAGTAATTAAGCATGCCATCGATCGAGCTTAATTATTATATAAATTTAACAGTACATTCCTTCCTGCCAGTTAAATGCATGCAGTGAATATAGGTTAATTAGACTGTAAATATTTTTAAAATTAATCACCATGTGATTGGCATTATTACAAAGTGTTTTGAACTTAAAAAACAGAAATAGGATTGAGGCTCTCTCCGTTGTATTGACATCGAACACACCTTTTTATGTTGTTTTACTTATTTGATTATTAATTCATCCACTCCATCCGTTAACTTTTACTTGTCAGTTATCACAAGTAATTTCAATCTATATATTGTCACAGTGAAACTTTTAAATATTGTGTATTTGTGTTTAAAGTTGTAGCTAGTGATTTTTTTATAAAAAAATTGCCCCACTCCTAGGAGCTTCCAACCCTTTTGTTTTCTTAGTAACTCGAACTTATAACCTTTGGATTGAAAGTGAGGAGTGTTTACCATCTGAACAATTTCCCCTCGTTTCACAAGTGATTTTAAAACCTTACTTCATATCTAAAATTTGTAGTGCATATGTGCTTTTTATAATTTTCTGCCAGAATATATTTCTCATAATTAGTGATAATGCATGCTATTATATATGTAATATAATGGTGTCAGCTCACGTACCTTCTTTTGCTCCATTTGTTCATTTCCTTTCTGTCTACAACATTGGACGAATAAATTTTTATTGATATACTATATCATGATATCAAATATTCTTGAAACTATATAGTATGTGATACATTTTAATTACAACTATACAATTAAAACTTAAAATTTAATTTTATTCACTCCTCATCATGGTACTTATTAATATGCAATATTTACTTCTAGTCGACTGTTCTCTAACAGAACGATGTTTTCCTCACCTACTATGTTGTATTTCATAGGGGAAAAAAAAATAAAACATGATATGTATAAAGTAGGATAGGTTTAGTTTTTGGTGTTTGTTTTAGGGAAGTATTAGGCTGGCAGAGAATGGGGCAATTTGTGGGAGGAAACAGCCTTACAAGTAGTACAAGTCAAGTCATTAGCCCAGGCCCCTTATCTATATTTCTTTTCTAAATCTTTATGATATAGTACTTGTGTGGGGTGGGGGGTAGGGGACTCTTTTTTTGGTCCCTACTGAGGTGATGTGTTATCCCCACTAGCCATATCATATCCATGTGGTCATCCTAGTCACCCTCTTTTCTCTGCCAGCTAAGCTTCGTTCACCCTCGTTATATCTCATTTGTTTTAATTTGTTTGTCTGATTTTGACTTGACAACACTTTGTAATTATTAAGTTTTAATAATGTATCACGTAAAAAATTAAAATTAAAAAACTATCATAAAATAAAAAAGAGATGAAGTAAAATAAACGAATTAAAACAAAAAGATTAGGATGATTTTTCTGTTATCTTTAGTGGGGATTCCATGGGGGACCCCCAGAATCAACACCTCATTATTATTCTCTATAATTCTCTTAACTAATAATGGTGGTAGTAACACTTTTTATTAAAATAGTGGAAGAATTGGTATATGAATTCGTATAAAAAGTGAATTAATTATTGTTTTTTTTTAATCATTTTATTTGAGTTAGTTTAATTTAATACGGAGTTTAAGAAAGAAAGATTTTTGAAATTTATTGTCTAAAATAAGTTATAAATATTTGTGTGACTATAAATTATTTCAGGTAAAATGAGTATTTTAAAATTAAATTGTTACTTAATATAGAAATATGTCATTATTTTTTAATCGACTAAAAAGATAAGTCATATAAATTAAGCCAGAGAAAATAATAATTTTAAATTAAAAAAATTTGAAGTGGAAAAAAAATATCTAAAGCTTTTAATTTTGATCATTCGACGTCGAACGAAAGAGTTTCTAAATAAAACTAAAGTTTCACTTCTTAGCCAAATGTCAATCCTCTTAATCTTAAAAGAGAAAAAGAAAGGAGATATGTGAAAAAAAAGAAGAAAATCAATTCTACTTTCTTCGTCTACTTTTAATTGTCATGGTTTTCATTTTTAGAGTCAAACGATAAGTATTTTGATAAATATTTTACGATGTATTTTTTTATTAATATGCAAAAAATTACAATTTATAGTACTTTTCGTATAAGTTTTGAATATCTAAATTTTTTGTTTAAAATATCGAATCAATGTAATCTAATTTAACTTTAAAAATTAATCAAATTAACTTTCAAAAAATGCAACATGACAACTAAAAGTAGACAGAGAAAATAATTCTTAACTAACTAATATATACACAATTCATTTCCATTGACAAGAGGCTTTTCCCATAACTAATTATTCTCAAAGTTGTATTCATCGAATTAATACAATCAAATTGTGGAAGAAGTAACTGTCATATTAATCATAATAGGAATATTAATTATTGAACTATACTATTAAAATACAACAACATCTTAAATTCTTGAAATTTTATCTAAATGTTAAAACGTAAACGTAGAAAGTAGGAAATTAAACATGTCATGGTCGGTCCAACAATCATTACTTAGTTTATACACTTCTAATTACATACTATTGGTTACCCCCCGCCCCCCCAACCTACACCCCTTGAAAAACTAAAATCGAAGTGTATTATTTTAATAATAATCCAATAATTTAATGACTTTATCTTATGATTTGAGAATTGACCCCTCCAAAAGCATTAACTTCCCACCACCAATCACATGCTGTCACTTCTATATAAACACCTCTTCCCCTCTCATTTCTCTTCAAACTATTCTGTCATTACAACAAACAAAAAATACTACTTGTACTACAATTCACAAAGAAGAAAAAAAAAGTTCGAATACTTGAACAAGAAAAATGTTTAATTTTTCAGATAACGATATGTTTGCGAGACGATGTGTTTGGGTAAATGGCCCTGTTATTGTTGGTGCTGGTCCATCAGGATTAGCTGTTGGAGCTTGTTTGAAAGAACAAGGTGTCCCTTGTGTTATATTGGAACGATCTGATTGTATTGCTTCTTTATGGCAAAAAAGAACTTACGATCGATTAAAGCTTCACCTACCTAAACAATTTTGTCAATTGCCCAAATTCCCATTTCCAGAACATTACCCTGAGTATCCTTCTAAGAGACAATTCATCGAATACCTTGAGTCCTATGCTACACAATTTGATTTAAGTCCACAATTTAATGAATGTGTGCAGTCTGCTAAGTACGATGAGTTTTGTCGATTATGGAGGGTGAAAACTGTTTCAGCTGATGGGGTGGAAGTTGAGTATATTTGTCAATGGCTTGTTGTTGCTACTGGGGAGAATGCCGAGAGAGTTGTGCCTGAAATTGATGGATTGAAGGAGTTTGGTGGTGAAGTGATTCATGCTTGTGATTATAAGTCTGGTGAGAAATTCAGGGGAAAGAAAGTTGTCGTTGTTGGTTGCGGAAATTCCGGGATGGAAGTATCACTTGATCTTTGTAACCATGATGCTCAACCGTCAATGGTCTGTCGTAGTGCGGTAAGTTATTCATACTATGTATTCAACTTTTAGATGAGATGGTCACACAACTTATCAGAGTTAAAGATTTCTAATAATGTTTTTTTTTTTTTGTAATATTCAGGTTCATGTTTTGCCAAGAGAGATATTTGGAAAATCAACATTTGAGCTAGCTATGTTGTTGATGACATGGCTGCCACTTTGGCTAGTTGACAAGATTTTACTCATTTTGACATGGTTTATTCTTGGTGACATTGAGAAATATGGACTAAAAAGGCCATCAAGTGGACCATTACAACTCAAGAACAGTCAAGGGAAATCCCCTGTTCTTGACATTGGTGCTTTGGAGAAAATTAGAGCTGGGAAAGTTAAAGTTGTTCCTGGAATCAAGAAGTTTTCATGTGGCACCGTTGAACTCGTCACTGGTGAAAAACTTGAAGTTGATTCAGTTGTTCTTGCTACTGGCTACTGCAGCAATGTTCCATATTGGCTACAGGTGAGAAAATGTTCTATTCCAAAGTTCTGGAAGTTTCTATTGATTTTTTTTTTTTTAAAAAGGAAAAATATAACTCGAGGTTCTTGAAAAGTTGACTAATGATATTTTTTGTTATGTGATACAGGAAAGTGAATTTTTCTCCAAAAATGGATACCCAAAAGCACAATTTCCAAATAACTGGAAGGGAAAATCTGGCTTATATGCAGTTGGATTTACAAAGAGAGGGCTGGCTGGTGCTTCTGCTGATGCTATTAGAATTGCTAAAGATATTGGCAAAGTACACAAAGAAGATCTCAAGCAAAAGAAGCAAAAAGTTCCAACACACAGACGTTGCATCTCAACCTTTTAATTAAAATTCAACCTATGTTACTCGGACTCTTCAAAAACGTCAACTAGTGCATGTCAGATTCTCCAAAAGTAGTGTACTATTTTTGAAGAATCTTAGACAAGTGTGGCATCAAAAGTGAGGACAAAGAAGAAAAATTTCCCTTCTTATTTAACTCCGGGGGAATATTTATTAAAAGAAAGAGATGTAAAATAATTGTGTAAAAAAAACATATAACAAAAAAAGCAGAAGATGATAACCATAGGTTTGAGCCCTCTCCAAAAAGGCCCAAGTTTTGCTACAGTTTGGGCATTTTGTATTCAAGGATGTAGAGGCTATTTAGTTACCTCTTTTTCTTTTATTTTGTATTGACATTTCATATATACACACTTGTACAATCACTACTGATCAATTCATTTCAATGACATATTCCTTTATGAGTTTAACTTCTGTGCATCAATAGTCATATTATTATCGGTGTGTAATGTTTTTTCTTGACGATACGATTGAGAGATAAAAACGATTAAGGTTGCCAAGATAGAAAGAAAAGAAAATCTATAATTGCCAATATTTTTGAGAAAATGACACTTTAATTTGTCCTTTTTGTGCATACTTATGCTTAAAGGGAGTTGATAAAGTATGTAGTAGTTTTACAAAAGGAATTATATTGTACTACTTCTCAAGTTCCTTTCAAGTCTCATTCAGTAGAGTTAATGTTTTCTCAGTTTTGACAGCAACCACTCATTTTTTGGGTACACATAAGTACTTGGATGATATGCCTAGTTACATTTAGTTAGAAAGTTTTTGATTTAAATTACTCTTATCAAATTGTTCAATGTTATCATTCATTGCACTACTTTTGGTCTATTTATGTCTATATTAGTAGTAAGTGAGTAGTATTTTGTATTGTCCTTGCAATTGATAAGTGGACTCCAAGCGTCCATATCCTTCCAAAACAAAAGGTACAAATTTACATATTGGCGGAATCAAGTTCTTTACTAAGGGGCTTGTGATTCTGTCAAAAGAGATTCGGATGAACCCTTTCGACCCTATCTAGCTCCGCTCTGAATTTATATATTCCCCAACTTTGACTATGGTTAAAACCATTCTGATCAAGTTAAAGCCTGTGTCCAAGGACAAAAACAGGCTCCCCCCCACCCCACCCCACAACTGTAGGAGTAGAATCGAGCTAGGGTAAAATTGGTCAATTCGTTGCATGGGGAAATTACCCTTTTCACAAAATTTAAATGGTTTTTGGTGAGTATTGACCCCATAATATATTTCATTTCTTCATCTTTACTTGTTTACTTTGGAATAATGGTACAAGTAAACGTAAAAATCTTTTTTTGAAATAATACACAAGTAAAATTTGACTTACAACCGTAAATAACTTTTTCTTCATCAAGGATGATGGGTGCATTTGGTATGCAAAAAATATTTTCCAATTTTTTAATAAAACTTAAATTCCTCAAAAATTAGAAAAAACGATTTCTCTTGTAAAATAGAAAACACAAATTTCTTAAGTTACATTTAACACATAATGATTGTTTCCTATTCATCTCAAACATTTCACCTCAACCTCAATCCTTACCCCCGCTCCGTCTCGCTCGCTCAACAACAACAACCCCCCATCCCCAACCCCCCCACCTGATCATTACCCCTCGCCCCTATCCTATAATTAATACTACTCCCTCCGTTTCACAAATAATGGTCTAGTTTGACTTGGCACGAAGTTTAAGAAAATAAAGAAAACTTTTAAATCTTGTGGTCCTAAATTAAAGTTATGTCAAATGTATAAAATTGCTCTTTAATCTTGTGGCCTTAAACATGCCACATGGAAATTTGAAATTAAAATGTTACCAAAAAAAGGAGAAGAGGTCATTATGTTTGAAACAAACTAAAAAAGAAAGTAGGTCATTCTTTTTTAAACGGCGGGAGTAGTATTTTTTGGCGTTTTTTTTCTTCATACCAAACACATTCAATATAACAATTCAGAAAATAATGTAACAATGCACACTAAACAACTAAACTAAATTAATAATGTAAAACTTTTATTCAATATAATACAACTTAAATCCTATTTAATATAGCATGACTTTGTGAAAAAAAATCAAATGAATCTCATAATTAGTTCCCTTATAAACCTCAAAATTTTCTTTAGGAGTCATGTGCAATCACTAATGCCATTTTTTGTGATCATCTTATAATGGTAAGTGGTTCCTTGAATTGATGACAAATCGAACTTGTTAAGATATGAAGAATTAATTGTATTTGTATTAATTTGTTGGTAAGAAAAGGAATAGTCCAAGTGTGATTGTTAACCAACTTGCCAATGATTAAATGCATTTAAGCAAGAGATTAATAGGCCTTCTACATGGAACTAAAGATTTGACATATTTTATACATCTCACTCATATCATAATTATTATTATTCCCTTTCTAATTTTTATTCCAGATGCACATTGCTTTCATTCTCTTAATAATGATGGATCATATATATCATTATATACTATAGTTTGACTTAACTTTTATATTCATAAATAAACTAGCTAGCTTGCTACCATCAACTCTCTATTTCTAGCACATGCACTGACTCATGCCCTTTGGTGAAAATTTAACATTTCTATCTTCTTCTCTATTAAGAGTGCATTATTAATTACTTTCTATATTTCAATTTATGTGACACATTTTATTTTTTCGAGAGCCAAACAATTTAAGTTTGATCATAAATTTAATTATGAAATCTTCAATTTTTTTGAACTGAAATTTATATATTTGCAAACTACGTAAAAAGTACTATAAGTCATAGGGGTGTGCATTCGGTTTGGTTTTGTACTATTCAGTTTGGGTTTTTTGGATTTGGTTTTGAAGAAGTGTAACACAATCCGAACCAAATAAATTTGATTTGGTTTGGTTTTTCTCTTTTTGGTTTGGGTTTTTTTTCGGTTCGGTTATGTCAATAATTAAAAACATAATCAAGTTATATTTGCAATTTGAAATATATATATATATATATATATTATAATTCTTTTTTTTTTTGTTTTTCCGTTTATATTTTTCTAAATTCGTAACCAAACCAAAAAACTAAACAAAGTAAATTATTAATCCAAAACCAAACCAAAAAGCCTATCCAAATTAGTATTCGGTTCAATTTGATTTGATTTTCCGGTTTAATCCAAATAGTGCACATCCCCTAATAAGTCACAATAATGACAATTTAAAATATTTAAAAGATATATGAAAAATTTGCGGTCAAATAAACTAGTTCCACAACATTTTTCCCAAAAAAATCATAATTCATCTCATGATGGCGTCGCCCGAACTCGAACCGGAGATCATCAGTGTGTTAGACAGACGTGATAACCAACAACACCACGACACCAACATGCTAACAAACTCCAAATTAACTGATAACTACATGTGTTTGGATAACATTTTCTCCTCATGTTTTGTTGGTCAAAACTCTTTAGGAATATAAGTACCGAAAATGAGAAAAATGAATTTCTTAATGAAAATTAAAAAAAAAAATATGTTCCACAAATGATATTTCAACTTCATTATCGCCTCCCTACCTGCCCCGTCCCTTGACCATTTCACTTCCACTCTCACTCTATCTTAACTCTCATAAGATTTTGCTAGTTTACATATGAATGAATGCTAACTATATTTCTTTTACTTATCAAATATAAAATATAAATAAAAAAACTCACTTATTTTTTAAGAAAATAATTTCCTTCGTACCAAACACAACACATCCTAATTAGTTGAAAACCAATGTGGTCCCATTTCTCATTTATGTGGGTACGTGATCAACTTACATAAAATTTTCAAAGAAATGCTTCTACCTATTGATGGTTCCATCTACCGTCAAAATTGGTTGAGTATTACACTAATGTGTACTTCAATAATAGCACAAATGTTCTAGAAAAGTATATAATCCGCTCGCTTAGTTCCTGCTCATAAGTGGAGTCTGAAAAGGATAATATTATACAAATTTTATTCCTATCTTGTAAAAAGATGTATACGTTGTTTCCAATAGACCCCTTGCTCAAGTAAAACATAACAAAATTTCCTATAAAAAAGAAATACATTAGTGAAGTAGTCGGTAGACATATAGAAAATACTGAAGAAAAGATCTTGTAGCAACAACAAATAATTAATAACGAGAATCGAAACAAATGAAACATCATGTAATAAATAATAAAATCAAAGAATAAGATAATAGGAGAGTAATAATAATTATAATAATAGTAACAAGGAAAACCTAATCACAATGCTCGACTACCTAATAAATTTCTATCCTAATTCTTGATCTCTTTATCCTCTTATGTAGGATTATAATCACGATAAACTACAAATATATCATATCATATCTAATCACTTGACACCGAACATAAGCTAACCGAAAAATGTGTAGTTGTCGTAGCCTCTTGCAGCCCCTAAGCCGCCGAGAAATTCCTACCACATTTTAGTATTAACGTTTCATTTTGTTTTGACATATATAAATGCATAGACATTGCCTTGTCTCTATTTCACGAACACAAACTTAGTAAAATCCAAGAAATCATTTAGTCAAATACAATCTAATGTAGAAAAAAGAATGCAATCTAACATTTAGCCAATAAATACAAGGAAAAAATAATACTCCTTCCGTTCCATTTTATGTGACACCTTTTCCTTTTTAGTCCATTCCAAAATAAATGTCACCTTACTATAACCAAAAACAATTTAACTTTAAAATTCCTCTTTTACCCTTAATGAAATGATTTACAACCACACAAATATCTAAAAATTGTTTTAAATCATAAATTTCGAAAGTCTTCCTTTTTTTCTTAAATACCGTGCCAAATCAAACAGTGTCACGTAAAGTACATAAACTATAGAGGAGTTCATAAACACTGTTTTTTTAGTTGAAAAAAAAGAGGTAAAGTTAGTGAGAACAAGTCACATGGTGTAATTGAATATTAATGCGGGTTCGGGTTTTGATGGCCCATATATGTTTAGTAATAGCACGTTCTATAAACAGAGACCCCAAAATCTCACTGC